AAAGGAGGCGTGCCAGAGATTAAGCTGAGTCACTGGACCCCACCCCACAGGCTATAAAAGAGAGTATGGTGGCCATTCGGACTCTGACGGACAAAGCTAAATCTCTGGCGAATCACTTTGCACCTTTGGACTATTCAAACTGTTTGTATTTTTGTCTGTGTTATCGCAGTAAAAAAGTTCTTGGCAGGCAGCTATGGAGTTGCTGCCAAGTTCCTTATCAGTGGTGTGGAGTGTCTGAGAAGGTTATTTAACCCTCGGCTGGCTGTTTGGGTGTGTGTGAGACGGGGACAGAACACGCTGCAAAAGTTTTGCACATTTACTTTCTCAGTAGTAGTACATGCCCCACTCTGAAAGTAGAGGGGAGCCCCGCTCGTTGGTTTTTGGCTTATTGGAGGGCTCCGCCCAGTTTGGTGATTGGTTTACGGGAGGGTTCCTCTTCAGCCTTGTGCTGAAGATCTGTCCAAGTGAGGTTTACAGGCAGAGCCACGTCACGGCCCCTGACTCCCAGAAGGAGTCGGGCTTGCTCCATGGTAGTGGCAGCAGTAGCAACAGCCTGCCAAATCTGTGCCGTCCGCAGCACTCGTTGGCAGTCTGGTCCGAGTCTGCTCATGCTTCTTTTTCCTTGCATCCCGCCCACCAGACACGGGAATGGGGGTCTCCCAGGAGGAGTCGGGCTTGCTTACACTACCTGGGAGACTGGATCTCCAATAAGGGAGTGGAGATGGATCCCAGTAAGTTGAAGGACATATTTGAGTGGGAGCCCTAGCCAGCCAGTGAACCTGGATTTTACAGAGTCAGATGCAAGGGCAGCAGAATATTTTGGGTTTGTAAAGAACCTGCAACTGGTGATGAGACAATTCTGGTGGCCAAAGATGAAAAAGGAAATAGAAGCTTATGTGGTCAGCTGCCCTTTGTGCGCTTCAATGAAACAAATGCCCAGGAAGCCCCCTGGGTTACTGCAGCCAGTAGCCAACCTGATGAATCTCTGGGAGGAAATCTCCATGGACTTTATTGTGGACTTGCCAGAGAGTGCGGGGAACACTATAATTTGGACCATTACAGACTTATTCTCCAAGCAGGCACATTTTGTGGCATGCCCAAAGATTCTCTTGGTTTATCTAAAGAACTGGCAGTTTCTTTTCTTAAATGTGCCAGCTTTCTGCTAGCTTTTTTCTTGTTAAAATGAGTTTATGATATAGAGTTTCTGTCCTTCAGCAAAATCTACTAGTCTGTCGCCTCTATTATCTCGTTCACCACTTCCATACAGGCCAGTTGCTTTTTCTCCAAGTATTGTTCTTCCTATTCTTGCATTAAAGCCATCCATTAGTATTTTGTATCAGCATTTTTCTTTGTATTGAAGATGGGCCACATTGTTGTAAAACTCTTCGACCTCATCATCACTATAGCTTATTGTTGGCACATAAACTTGGATGATTTGAAGCTTGTATTGTTTGTTCAATTGAATGATGCATTGGGTTACTCTGTCTGATATACTTTCAAATTTTACTACAGTCTTTCAGCTTTTGGTTGATGAGAAAACCAATTCCGCCACATCATCCATCTTCAGTACCTCTAATGTAGATAAATGCCCAGTTCTGTCAAGTTCAACTAAATTTTTGCCACATAATCCAATGATATCCCAGTGCATATCCATTTTCAATTGTTCGAATGTTGACCATTCCAAAGTCCAAAGGCAGCCTGATTTAATCTGCATTTTTTGTTGTCGGGCAGATCTTCCCGCTGCCATGAGTAGTTGCCCTAGGGCCTCTGGGGAATGAAGGCCGTTTTTGAGGTTGTATCTGCATGTGGAAGGAATATATCATAATCTTCCATACTAGTTCAGTGTGGGTTGGCAGATGTGATCGGTGTTAGTCTGGGGTATCTATCATGGCCTGTTCACCTTGGGAGACCCTTCTGGACATATACATATCTGATGACATAACACACAATTTCATTTACCCGCACAAGCCTCTTTGCCTCGTCAAGGTCCCAATCATAGAAGGAGATGTTCTCATTTGTTACATGTTCTATGTTATTCTATGTTATTTCAGCATAGAATAAAAATAAGAATTGGCAGCCAAGGGTAATCCGTTACCAACAGTAACAAACTATGCAGGCTCCACTAACTTCCTGAACCCCCGTCTGGACAATAACCAAGACTTTGGAAGGTCAGAGCCAATATAAATTTGAGTAGTGTGATGTTCCAAAAGGAAGAGAGTATGACAAAAACCAACATGTTTCTTGTGTCCCATTAGGTGATATTCTGTAATCAATGAAAACCTAGATCTCCTATGATATCTAATGGAGCAATGTTTTCTATTCTTCAGAATAAACTACATCAGCGGTTCTCAACCTTTTCTTCACTATGGACCCCCTTTCAATGCCTTTTGTGGCCACAGACCATGGCCATGGAACCTCCAAAACTTAACTCAAGATTTAAATCATAACATTTCTTCAAATCTTTTCAGATCCCCTGTGATGACATCACGGCCCTTCAGGCATCCGCAGACTATAGGATGAGAATCACTGAACTAGATAATTCTTTAGGAAGGGCAAGCAGTTTTCTTCTTTTTCACTTCTTGAAGAAATATGGAATACAGAAGGACCTTTCACATATTCCCTTGGGGATAGTATTCCTGAGACTCCGTTCATGAACATGTAGAACAGGTTTATCCATTCCCCCCCCCCTTTTTTTNAGGCATCCGCAGACTATAGGATGAGAATCACTGAACTAGATAATTCTTTAGGAAGGGCAAGCAGTTTTCTTCTTTTTCACTTCTTGAAGAAATATGGAATACAGAAGGACCTTTCACATATTCCCTTGGGGATAGTATTCCTGAGACTCCGTTCATGAACATGTAGAACAGGTTTATCCATTCCCCCCCCCCTTTTTTTCCCCTCTAGGTCAGGGGAGGAACTAATGTCAGTTCAGAGGGGAACCATTTGCTTACACAAACTAAAGACAGCCAAAGTGGCTTGGCGCTCCTTTAATATCAGCAGCTTCAAAATGATCCAGCAAGTACTTAGAGCCTGTGGGGTATTCTCTTAATGATAAGCAATTACCCAGAGGTAATTGCCAAGTTGCTGAGTGGAACTAACTCAAATTCTTCTCAAATTTGGAGATTTCCTATTCACCTTGTTGTTGTTTTAAGAAAGTTTGCACCACTACCAGTGGTAGGATTTCTTACTTTATTTCACACACCCTGAACATATTAGCCCATGGAAGTGCATGAAAGAAGAATGAAAGCTACAATTCTCCCTTTTCTTCACCCTTTCCTTTTTATAGGAAGGGTAGTGAATAGAAGGTTTTAAACTAAATTTTGTGTTACAGATCTATAGCCGTCAACTTGTGCCAATTTTTTGGAGATATCTCTAATAATGTTTGGAACATTATATTTACTCACACACTAATCGGCTATCCACTCACGTAAACTAGGGAGTGACCCTAACATTTTGAGAACATGTATTTTCTTAACAGGGATGTTATTATTTACTATTAATGTTAGTACTATTTTTTATTATTATTATTATTATTATTATTATTATTATTATTATTATTATTATTATTATTATTAATATATTGTAAAAAATGATGGCTATTGCTGGTCTACGACCGTAATAGTTATTTGTAATTTGTGCATGACAAAAGTAAAAGACTTGACCTTACATAGATCATTGTAAAAACAAAAATAAGCAGTGAAATTAGAAAGACTA